CCCTGCCATTTCAGTTCACAGTCTTCACTGGTTGTGCTGGGGTCAAACGTTGCCTTTTCGGTTTTCTTGTCCTTCCTTGTATCTTTGTACCTTTGTCTAGGCGTGCGGCTTCTCCCTCGGTACTCCTGCTATCGTTTATTGGGTCATTGATGTCTAAATGCTCTGTAAGACTAAGGAGAGTTTTGAATATAGTCGTATAGGTTTTCAATAATGTATCAGGAAAAGCTTTTCTACCCTTGTATGTTATCTTTCTGAGCTCTTTATTGGCCCCTCGGTTCTTCATAGACTGCTCAGAATAGCCCTTAATGACCTGTTCCAATAACTCCAGATTGCTTTTCCCGATGGTTCTTCGGGAAAAGATTCGGCTGCCTTCTCGCAATCTTTCCACGTCCACTGTTCTCTTACTGGCAAATAACATCGTGCAGAGATGAAAGATCATACTCGCTCTCAGGCGCTCGAGATCTGTACGAACGCTGTCACTACCAAGCGCATGCTCGTCTTCGAGTTTCCTCGAACCCATAGGGTTATTGGTACTTTCATGAAAAACGTCATGGCCTTCCACTGTTAACGTGTTGGAAGCTTCTTGGGTCCCTGTTTGGGTACAGGCCGATTTGACACAGGATCTTAGACCTGAACCCGGGCTACTGAGCGGTAAGTCACCCCCGTGTGTAGAATCAGCGTTGTGTTCGCCATCAGTAGATCTTGATTGACGTTGGCCAGTTGGACTGTGGATCGCCCCTGACTCCCGATCTGTTGGGGTCAAGAACTCCATGTTCAGTTCCGACAATGGAGTTACTACTTCGTTCGTGTCTGGTACAAATGCACGCCGGGCCCTTTCTGGGCGGATCACCCTCTCGTAATCGAGCTTGGCTTGTTCGAGCGATGATTGCAAGTCTTCAATCCTATGCCGTACACGTTCGATAAGCAGTTTGAGTCTCTCTGTGACTGGCACCTTGCCTAGGAACCGCTCTTCCATCACTGCAGAAAATGGTTGTCCAGATGGCGGCGGAAAAGTGCTTGTGAAATACATGATATTCTTCTCAACCTGACCAAGTTCTTCACGTAGACCGTCCAGCTCGTCACGGCGGTCGTGGTTTCCATTGAGCTTGGAAGTAGCCTCTTCTGCAGGCTTCTGGTTGATCCAGGCATTACTGCTCAGTCGAAAAAGTCTTGCCATATCCCCTTGTCGCTCATGAACTTCAGTATCTGAGT